GGGGGGGGGGGGGTTATCGCTGCTCTCCCTGCTCTCATCCATGCTAGGCTAGGAGTTCTTGCCCAGAACAGAACCATACCGCCAATCCAAACTGTATGCTAATTGTCAAATCATCTTTGACGATAGTGGTCCTGACAGAAATGATATGATATGATGGTAATACCATATTTTTAAGACATGTACAATATTTATTTGGGCATGGCACCATGTTATTACCATGTGATTTATATATGTAATTTTCTGGATATAGTACTGACGTAATACCATGTATACCAATAATGTTTTTTGTTAGTTTGTTTTTGTATAAGTTAATAATACATACACGTTTTTAAAAATATGGTGCCATGTTTTTTTGATACCAGAGCAATAATACTTTTTATAATTGGTACCATGTTAATACCACGTTTTTAAAAATATATATTTATTTTGACATCTAAAACACACATCATTTCCATGGTTACATATGTATTTTTTATGGATATTGTACCAATGTAAAAAAAATAAAAATGCTACTGTAATGTTAATACTATTTATTTATTTATTTTGCACATGGTAGTAATTCCATGTTTGTTGTCAATTTCTACAATGAAAATACTGTACCAATGATATGTTTTTAATACAGGGTTTGTATGTTTTTTTTTTCTTCTGGACATAGCACCAACCTATGGTACTGTAATATGGTAATACTATGCTTTGTTTTGGGGTTTTTTGCACATGGTAGAATAGTAATACTATATATTTTTTTTTACTTTGTACCATGGTGATGCCAATACCATGCATTTTTTGGACATGGCACCATTGTAATACCTCCTTTACACCTAATTCTGGACATTCTAGCAAGATGTTTTTAAGACAATGTTGTTTAGTACGTTTTTTTGCCAAGGTACCATTGCAATATTACATATTTTTTAAAGATTAACTATGGTAATACCACAGTACCTTGGAGTACCATGTAAATACTATGGTAGTGTATATGAATAACAATCATAATATCACTACCTACACTGTACCATAGTACTGCCATAGCAGTATGTAAGTGTCATACAAATAGTTAGATGCAATACTTAAGGTGATTCTACTGATCACGATATTAGTTACAGATCTGAAACGTGAAATTTATAAAAGGGAAAGACAGTGTACTGATGATGTTTCCTAATGAAGAAGAGAGATGTTGTAAAGAATCTCACATGAGCTGTGGTCTGAAGCGATGTATGAGAGCACAGAAAGCCAGGCCACTGATCCAGCAGGAAGTGAGGTCAGTCACATTCACACCCCTGTAGCCCTCTGTCTGCTTCTGACACCACGTCAGTAACCGACTCGGCCTGATCTCAGACTCTGTTAAACACGCATACAACCAGAGAAAAATGTTATTTTGAAACTGATCAACCCCCCCCAAAAAAACCTGAGAAGCAGAGAATTTCGCTATATGAAAATATATACAAGGATTGATCTGGACTGAAAGTCAAGGTGAAGTCTTCTGTGTCAGGTGTCTGAACTTGCCTCAATCTCACAGCAGCATAATCCTCCTCTTACGCAACACACTGTTTATTAATGTTTCAGAGTGGCGTGTCATCCTGACAGCTAACTGTTTTTAGGTGCAGTAAACAAGCTCAATAGAACAGCAATAGCGGAAAGGATTTATTGTGATTGATTTAGGAAACAGCAGCATGACCAGAGCCAAAAGATATGTGGTATTTCGGTTTTTGACTCTTGTTCTATTTCTTTTAAGAGGCAAATTTAGCCAAGGAAAGAGGAAGTTCTGCAGAAAAGTGCGCGTACAGCACATTTCTAACTGATGTACATTACTGGTCAAAAGTTTGGAACAACATAAGATTTTCTTATCTCACCATAATGCCTTTATTTGATCAAAAATGCAGTGAAAACAGTAATATTGCAAAATAATATTATTACAATTTAAAATAAGTGTTTTCCACCCACTAAAATATCATTCAGTGTAACTATCCTAGGTTTTGCCCATTTGTCAGTAAGAATTTTTTCACTCATTTAAAACCCAATCAAATTTAATATGCTCCCTTATTCTTTTATACTGTATATTTTAATATGTACAAGTCAGAATAAGCATGTTGTTTGAATTTTTACATAACTATACACTGAGGGGCAATATAACATTTCAACCAAATTTTGACCTTTTATTCTCCAAAAACGTATTTTAAACCTTAAAAGTAGATTCTTTACTTACATTTGATGTGCTTTCTATGGACATAAAATCACTTTTGTAAATTTCTTTTGATGCGGACATCTTAATGTCTTTGACCCACATATACATATACTGGGGGGTGGGTTGCAATTTTGTTTGGTGACACTAGCGATGCAGAAATTACACACTTCACCTTGACCAGAAAAATCCAGATCTGCAAAACAGACGCTAAATAAAATATTCACTGTGTGAATCAGATCAGCACAGACAGTGCCAACAACCCTAATGTGCACCAATGATGAGGCCCAAGAACTGAGAGTACCAGAGAGCGTTTGTGCCCGTGTGTCTCCACCCCTGATAAATATGTGCTCCTTAGGAGTGTGTATAAGTCTCTGGACATATTGTTGTTAGGTGTCTCGTCCCTCTGTCTTGCAAGAAGCTGAGATAAAGAGTTCACTCGACACTTGCTACAGAGCAAAGCACCAAACTCACATGAATGATGACATGCTTGTCCAGCAGGCTCTGCTTCTTAGCCGTCATGACAAAGTAGTGCGTGTTGTCTTTGTAGTAGACGATATTCTCTAGATCAATCCCTGCAAAAGAGACAAAATCGTGGTATTACTTAAAGGGGTCATACGACGTTGCTAAAAAGAACATTATTTTGTGTATATGGTGTAATGCAATGCGTTTATGTGGTTTAAGATTTAAAAAAAAACACATTATTTTCCACATACTGTACATTATTGTTGCTCCTCTATGCCCCGCCTTTCTGAAATGCGTCGATTTTTACAAAGCTCATCGGTCTGAAAAGCAAGGTGTGCTGTGATTTGCCAGCTATCCAGTGCATTGTGATTGGCCGAAAACCTCAAGCGTGTGGCGGAAATGTTACGCCCCTCACCATACTGTGATGCCCTGTCCGGCCGGAGCGACAATTCAAAAACATGAAAACCCATTATAAACGAGGCATTTGTTGCATCCAGTGGGGACATAATTACGGATTATAATGACTTATACCGTCTTTTATACTGTTATACTTATACTGTTGCTTTGCATCGCGGCGCGTAAACATAAAACCATATCTGCATTTGTGATTGGAGAAATGACAAACAACAAGCGCTACTCTACACTGCTCAAAACTCACGTTTGAATCGTCAGTGGCAAATTCTTTAAATATGAAAACGTACTTACAGGCTGTGAGTCAGAAGCGCCAGACTGTCCTTGCAAAGTTGGAACTGCCCCACTTTATAGAAACAACCATCGTGCACAGCATTGTAGGCTACTCTCCCAGGTTCAGGAAACAGTCCTCCATAATCTGAATATTTGGGTTGAACTGTTCTGGAACAGTGTTGTAAATACAACTTAACCACTGATTTCTCGTTGTATCCTGTTTTAGCTTTCACAACGAAACACACAGTGCCTTCACGACATGGCGGCGGTGGCAACAATACTACAGCGAGAATAAAAGTTAGGCCTTCTTTCTTTGCGTGAACATTTGGGCAGTGTTATGCAAATCTTCCCACACAGTGACGTAGACATGTGGGGGCGTGTACGAGGCGTTTTAGGAGGGCGTGGACGAGTCTTACATTTTTTAAAGAATATCTCTTTGGGTTTGAGGCTTTAGTCTTTGCAATTTTAGGGATCTTATCTATGCACAAACTGCTTGGAACACTCCAAAGAGAAAGGAAAACTTGAAATTGCATCATATGACCCCTTTAAATCGGTGTCAGAGACTCTCATCTGTAACATCTTCATGCCTGTAATATGATAAAACGAATCTCATGAGGTCAGAGTGAGTTTAATACAGGATTTTAAAGGAATTCAGTTTCAAAGGGGTACGAGTCACGACAGGTATACAAAGCATACGTAAGTGTTTGAAGGGAGGAAGCCCATAATCCCCTGGAGGATAAACATTCACGGGGCAAATCAGAGCAAGAGGACAATAACTGAAATATGGTCGCTCCTAACAGCAGATAACACTGACACGCTTATGGAAAACATTGCGGGAAATACCGGGAAGAGGTGAAAGTACATACTTGAGATGGTTGGAAGATATTTCTTTATTATCCAGAGGGCTGGATGCTTAGTTTAGACCAATGTGGTGTATTTTTATTGGCTAATGTGGCACATATTGCTCACCAGTTTCCTGTTTGAGATCCTGAAAGAATTTCTGGTTGAAGATGAAGGCAACTCCACTTATCTCTTCGACCTTTGCCTCAGCGGTGGTGTTTCTGTTGATAAAGTTTGCCGTTATGGCGATGGCCAGTTTGCCACGAAATTCCTTCCTCCTGAACCCTGAGAAAGAGCGAGAGAAGGGGGAAAAGAGCCAGGGGAAAAGCGTTTAGAAGTTTGTAAAGCAATAACGTTGCATTTGTTTCCTCGTGTTTGAAAGAGGTAAACTAACGCAGCACAAACATGCCGCTCTACCAGTATTATACGCCCATTATTTTAGGTTCTCAGAGGCTAAATTTAACTCCAAAGTCCACACTGAATACTGCCCATCTGAAGATATTTTGGGGTTTAAAAGACAATTAATATTCAGTAATATCATCAATTTAACTGTACTGACACTATTGAATAGGACCATAATTTGAATAGAATTGAGCTGGACGAACACCGCATCATTGACACTTAAACTGAACTCAAACAACATTGAACTAAACGGAGTTGAATTATAATACTATTGTCTTCTATAGAGCTGCTTTGAAGCTGAAATATAATTTGTATCATAATTATTTTTACAGGACTGACACTGTTATTTTCTTGTTTATTAATATGAAGCTGCTTTGAAACAATCCGAGTTGTATAAAGAGCTATGTAAATAAATGTAACCGGGGTAATTATCGCTAACTAAAACAATAAAAACTATTTTCATTACAAATAATTTTATATTTTTAAAAAACTTGCCAAGGCAACATTTCTCATTTTCATTTAGTTTGACTTGAGCAGTACTAAAACAACTAAAACTTATTAAAAAACTACATAGACATACAGTATTTAAAATAATAATAATAAAATGACAAAAATACACAACAAAATTACTAAAACTAAAACATAATATATAAAAATCAAATCAAATTCGAAATATTAACAAACATAGTATATCAATGACACAAAAATAACGCTTGATTTGACTTGAAGATTGATGTTTAATGTACAGTTATGGGCCAATAGTTATGGGGTGATATTTTATAGTGGCCGGCCTACCAAGGTCCCGTCCACAGAAATAAAATGCGTTTAAAAATATTTTCTCTACATTTTGCCCTCTTTCCACACATTAGCAGCATTTTACAGTTAGTCATTGAAAACTGAGATTTTTGAAAATGCCTTTCAAAGTGAGGACCTTTCAAAACATTATTTTCTGTAATGCATGTTGACAGGTAAAATAGAGATGCTGGAATTTGGTGACATCACAAACACAATTTGAAAATGATGACAATTTTCATATTTGGGTGAACTATCCCTTTAAATCGCTGAATATGTATATACAGAGTCTGTCAAGCAAATCTCTTCTGATAAAGAGAGATTGATCTGCACAACAAATGAAAGGCGAAAACTGCCTTTTCAGAATATTTGTACTCAAAAAT